GACGATTACAGCAGACGCGCACTTTATCCCGATCGCACACCTTTCCTCGGGTGCTAAAATGCCCCGTTTTAGAGCCACTAAAATGGCCTTGCTTGCCGTGAAGGGCGGTAAAGCTCGCCTACCCTACCACCAAGCCGCCGAGCAAGCCGCAAACGCTTATCATGTGCCCACCGATCCCATCAAAACGCTACATTTCTTTTTCATTTCTTCTATATTTTTTTTTTCTTTCGCCCGTTCCCACTGACCCCATTTCCCTTGCAGAAGAGAGGGTCCGCGCGCCACCGCCACCCACCCCGCGGTGCATCTCGCCTGCCTCGCACGGCTTGCACAGCGCTGCACGCGGAAGCACAGCGCAGTCAGACTCGCCGCGCCACGCCACGCCACGCCACGCCACGCCGCGCCACGCCACGCCACGCCACGCCACGCCACGCCACGCCACGCCACGCCACGCCACGCCGCCAGACTGGGCAGACGTGCATTGACGTTTCGCACGCCATTTCACGGCTGTGTTGCACTACGTGTTGCGGCCGCGGGCGCAGCGGGCGCAGTGCGGGGGGTGCCGACCGACCGACCCACTCTGTTGGGACAAAACCATAGAGTCATTGCGAAAATGCGAAATGACCCCTGCGACTCGAGAACCGACCCTTTATTGTTTGATTGGGTCCGTCTTTTGGCGGCTGACTGACCAAGACTCGACGCAAACCGCGACGTTGGACCTTTATTTTTGAGCGGTCCTAACAACGCAGCGTGCTATTAATAGGGCAGAAGCCTCTCCTGATGGCAGGTCATAATCATAAAGCTAGCACCAGGCAAAACCGCTATGTCCGCGGGGCGTGTGTTTAGCACGGCCTCCTCTCTCAAAGCACCCGACTTAAATAATAGGGCGAACCCGGCTAAAAGCACCCCTACTCCCATACCGCACCAAAAAAAATTAAAATAAAAACAAATACTACGTGGGTTTTGAACTCTTGGCGGTTCTTCAGATGAACACATCACGGCCCACCGCGCCTCTCTCTCCTCTCCCGAGATTCAATTAATCAGTCTCCCACCAGATTTTCCTGTTGATCGCGCGAAATGAGACAAAAGCCGGGAGGTGGGGGGAGAGAGGGGCGTTTCTCCCGACCATCTTGGCTCCTTCTGCGTCCCTCCCATCATCCGCTCTCTCGTCATCAGTGACCTGTGACGTTCCGTTCCGTTCCGCGCGGAACACAACGGGCCACGCGGCGGGCGGCAGAAGCGCGAGGCGTGGCGTGGCGTGGCGTGGCGTGGCGGGGCGTGGCG